CCCACCAATCAGACATGCTGAAACAGCGTTGGAAATGATTTGCTTTCTACAACTTGGTTTAAGAATAAAATGATGTCGCGAGGCCGCAATAGCGCCACGCGGTTTTGGATTTCTGCTATTTTACTTATTGACCCTGGAAGAATTTCTATTAAAAGTTGATAGTTAAGAGATTGGTTTCTGTGCCCTGGAGTCGTGGCCGTGCCGGAGAGCCGCTCGTGGGGGGCAGCTGGCGACCTCGGTCGGGTGTGAAGGACGGCCCATTACGCCCCCCTTCCCATGAGGTCCCTGCCGCCCCCACCCGCGGCTCAAACCTGCTGTCCACAAGGCTCCCGTGCGGCCGCCATCTTTCTTTCCAGAGAGCTCTCCTTAAAGTTTTATCTTTGTTAGATAGATGGATCTGTGCTAAGGTGCCATCAAAAATTAATGCAATGTCATGTTCTACTTCTTGTTATAGCCAGATCCCTATTAGGTAGAGTCCTGCATGACTCTCCAATCTGCTCTCACCCTATTCAGAAATAGAGTGAAAATGAAATGGAAAAGATGTTGTGTTGGGTATGTGGGTGTGGATGTGGGTATAAAAAGGAGACAGACTCAGCCAGAAATCAAAGGAATCCATCACCCCGGCAGATAATCCCTCAAAGAATTGACCATAATAGAGAGAAGACCTTTGTGCTCAGTGTAGTAGTTTGAATTATACTCATCTCTTTGTAGGGTGTCTTTAGGCTAATTGTTTGACATTTCTGACATCTGTTTTATCTTCTCTAGACATCACAATTTCCTTTTAAGGTTCTTTGTATGAATTAAAACTTCATGCAAAGGACTAATATATGGTGAGGAGTAAGAGCTCAGTGAGTGGTTATTGATATGTGATATGCCTAAAAAGAATTAGGCTAATGAAACCCAAATACTCCTCTGTAGTTAAGTTTTGAAAATTTTATCAGAAAAACTTGAAAGCACTAGCATTCTGGATAATAAATGCTATGTAATACTGCACCTTCTCCCTCCCATGATTTCCCGTTTCTCTACCCGAATCATAATATTATCTGTCTCCTCCCCTAAGATGTTCTATATGAGTAAGATCTTTGCTTGTTCATTAAATTATAGTGTCAGTATAGCCTGAAACAAAACTGGCATAAGATAGGCATTCAATAACTGGAGAAATTAATTTGAAGTTTGGCTTTCTTAAGCCCATTCTGGTGTAATGGCAACTAATGAACCAGGATTGACTTGAGTATTTAGCAGCACTGGGCTAGGAGCCAGAATCTTCTGTCAGCTCTTGTCAGTTCCAGGCTTAAGCATGCCACCGTTTCTTGGGCAAGTCACTTAGCAATTTAATGCAAACTTTGTAAGAAAAAGCAAACAAAAAATAATAACTTACATTAGCCATGCATATCTGTCATGACTCTCACATTATTCATGATATTAGGTGAGATTATCTGGTAAATTTTAGATTTTCATCGGAAGCACAAGAACATCCATTGACTTTAGTTTTGATAGGGACTGAAAAGTAAAAGGGTATAAGTGGGAAGTGGTGATAAGGAGCCTCTTGATGGAAGAGGGGCGTGGACCTGAACTAGTATTTCTAAATGAGAGCTCCCAAGAGTGTGGTGGGAATTCTGGAGGAAGGAGTTCCAAAAAGGCTCTGTACCCTAGGGCTCCAGGTGAACAATTGTTAAGGAAACATAGTCATCAGTTAGAGGCTATTCTTAGAGACTTTTGGACTACACAGTTGTGGGCAGCCACTGTAGACGACAACTTACAGATAAAATTGGCTTTCTGATCAGTGATAAGGAAAAAGGAACAAAAAATGATAGAAGGAATTTGGAATCATTTTGAGAGAAGAGCCCTTCCACAGCAGCATCCAAGGGAAACTCAGCCTGTATTTCTCTCCCTCAAGGCCAGGCAACCTAGTGTTCCTCCATCCAGATGTGTGTTCCTTTTGAGAACGATTATCTTGCTTATGCTGGGAAACTAGGGCCACTTTGTTTACTAGTGTTATAAGGAACAGGTTTCTTTTTCTTCTTTTATTCCATTTCTTTAGGTCTCCTTTGTTGCCATTTTCACCAGCCATTAGACTCTTCATTCATTGTAAAAGCATGTGATTTATATCTTAGTATAAATTGCAGTTTATAATACTTTATCTGTCTTACTTTATTTATATATTTTATATTCTCTCCTCTCGCATTAGAAGAGCAGTTGTTTCACAGAATTTGGGATTTACTTTAATTTCCTTCACAGAACCCTATAGTTTGAAATCATGTCTTAGTGGTTACTTCTAAGAAGAGTTCCTGTATCTTGTGAGTTCCGTTGTACGAAAGTTGCTATTATTCAGAGCAGTCTGAATCTATATTGAGGTAGCATATTTAATCAATTTTTAGAAAATTCCGTCATGTTTTAAGTTATAAAGTGAGGAAATATAGAACCAGAGCAATATTACAGTGGTAGGATGTTTGCCTTGTACACAGTCAATCTGGGTTCGATCCGGCACCCTATACTGACCCAGTTCCCAAAGCCCTACCAGTAGTGATCCCTGAGTGCAATGGTAGGAGTAAGTCCTGAGCCAGATATATCCCAAAAACGAGCAAAAAAAGTGAAGAAATGCAGGGTAGATTTGAGAATGTATTCTAATTATTTTTAAAAAGCCCAAGAAGAACCAAATACAATTCAGTCATTTTTGGTTTTTGCTTTTCTTGGTAGTCTGATTCAAAAGATAGATTTAAGTGCTTAGGATAAAAAATTGCACCAATTACTAATCTGTTCTAGTTTTAAAATAAAGTGGAAATATTAACTTGGATCACTTGTATCACTTGTATCACTCATCATCCCGTTGATCTTTGATTTTCTCAAGCAGGCACCAGTAATATCTCCATTTGTCCCTGTCATGTACTAGTGTAGCCCAATAGCATCTGCTCACTCCAGGAACATGAAGAGCCTCAAACTGTTTTTTCAGAGTTTTGACGAAGAAGTCTGACATCTCGTAGGTGGGTGGCCACATGTCCTTTTGACGTCCCGTGGAATCCAGTCGGTAACAGCTCTAGTCCAGTGATCATCTCTAAATCGCTTTACGTGTCCGGCCCATCTGATTTTCAGCACGTTGGCAAACTAGACAGCGTCCTTGATTCTTGATCGTCAACGGAGGTCAGATCTCCGGTTTCCTTCTCTCACTTGAGTAAAATGTGATATTCCAAGCATAGTTCTTTCTATTCCTCTCTGGGATACCCGAATAGCATTCTCATCCTGTTTTCGTAGGGCCTAGGTCTCTGAGGCATATGTTAGTGCAGGAAGAATAATGGAGTCAAAAAGATGAGCCCAGAGCCAGAGGTTCTTTGTCTTCTTAACAACTTCTTTGATGCTCTTGAAGGCTGCTCTCTTCCTCCTGTGCAGTTCTGGCGCCAAGTTGTTCATCGTGTTGAGTTCTCGACCCAGGTACACATAACTGTTGCATTTGGAGATGTTTGTTCCATTGAGAGTAAATAGAACATAAGGGACTAGCTCGTTTTTCATGAACATAGTCTTGGTGAGATTCAGCTGCAGTCCGACCTCTCCACACTCACAGTTGAAGTTGGCCAGCATCTGTGCTACTTGGCTAAATGTTTGGCATTATTAGAACGATGTCATCAGTGAAGCAGAGGTCATGTAGTTGCTGACCGTCTATCTTCACTCCCATTTCTTCCCATTCCAGTCGTTGTATGACGTTCTTGAGGGTGGTACTGAAGAGTTTCAGTGAAATGATATCACCCTGCTGAACCCCCCTCCTTATGTCGATGATCGCTTCCTTGTAGAATGGTGAGATTCTGGTGGTGAATCCATAATATAGCTCGCAGAGAATCTTAATGTGTTAAGTTTGAATGCCCTGTTTGGCTAGGGCTTCGATGACCACTTCAGTCTCAAGAAAATCAAACGCCTTCTTTAAATCGATGAACATTAGACAGAGCAGCATCTTGGACTCTCGCAAAACCTCAATGAACTTGGTCACCATGTGGATATTGTCGATCGATTAATTTGGATACTATAAATTTTCATGAGACAAAATGCATTTTTATTGGAGTACATTGAAAACAAGCTTTGATTTTCATCAGTGGAGAAGAATACGGCTTAGACCTTAAAGCTTTCTCTTCATAATTTATTATGAAATGTCACTGAATTTCTTAAAAATAGAGCAATTTAATTAAATAGCAAGTGTCACTTGTAACCTTTTCTGAGCCATGTTTCAAAGGCTATTTAAGAGAAGGTGAATTGAGAAAACATCTGAGCCCAGATCTTCAACAGAGATGCCCAGACAGGCTGGTGATCTAAGAACTAGGTGCTCCCAGGACAGACCTAGTTTGTAGGTTTTTCCTCAGCATCCTTATTGGTTTATTAACTAAAGGAGATTGTGTGACCTGACTTTGTGATCAAGATAATATGCTTGCCATTTTTATAGAGGAAGGAATCAGAGATATAGACTATCTATTAGAAGTGCCTGAAGAAGGCTAAGACTTACAGGATTTAGAATTTAAGGGTAAATAAAGTTTAATTGGGTGTTCTTTGGAGGTGAAATGTTGGCAGAATAGCCCATGATGTTATGAAACCTTGTGTACCTGGTGTTCCCAGGTCTTCCATGTTTCTTCACAGTACACATATATGTACATAACTCCCATTTAACAGCCTTTTTCTCTCTTTTGATTTAATCAGCTATGCTCACACCCACTCTTCCTTCTTTAGACACTCTGAAAGAAAATTAAAAGACAAATGGCACTTTTTACTTCTCTGATACTCTGTAAAATGTCATAGTGAACTAGTTTGAAGATAATGTGCTAAATCAATACTTCTTCAAAAAATGGAAAATTGAATTTTCTTCTCCTTGCCCAAAAAAGTAAGGACTTATATCCAATAGGTTTTATCCCAGAAGAGACTTTGACTAAGAAACTTAAACTTTTTTTGAATGGCTCTCAAGTAATTATCTGTTGTAGGGGTACCAGGAGGTTATCTTTGTATAACTCTGACTTGTTTTATTTCAGAGCACCAGCCAGTCCCCTCTATGGCTAACTCTAGTGCCCTCCCCTCAAGTTCAGCTGGGATCAGCAAGGAACTGATAGATCTGCAGCCCCTCATCCAATTCCCAGAGGAAGTTGCCAGCATCCTGATGGAGCAGGAACAGAATATTTACCGAAGAGTCTTACCTGTTGACTACCTTTGCTTTTTGACCCGGGACTTGAGATCTCCAGAATGCCAGAGGTCCTTGCCCTGCCTCAAAGCGTCCATCTCAGCATCCATTCTTACCTCCCAGAATGGTGAACACAATGCCCTTGAGGATCTTGTCATGCGATTTAATGAGGTAAGAAGCCAGTGGGCAATGATTTTGTAACTGAATCTTCATCAAATGCTTTTGTTTTATTTTCAGAGGGAGTAGAGCTTACCCAGATGTGCTTAGGGTTTACTCATGGCTGTATGCTCGGACATAGTTCCAAGTGGTGTTGGGAGACCATGTGCAGTGCTGGGGATCAAACTGAGGCCAGCCACATGCATGGCAGGTGCCTTAATCTCTGAATATCTCTACAGCCCAGTAAATAGTTCTTGAAGCATAATTTTCCATTTAGATATATCTGTTGCTGATATTTTATCTGCCTGTCTCACCTCTTCTGTTCTATTTCCAGAGCACAACCTAGTACTCAACCATTCATTGTCATTCATTGTCAGTCTCCTTCTCTTCATCCAAAAATCCCTTTATCCTTAGCCTAATTGAATGTCTCAATCCTATCTCACTATCGTCCTTATCCTTCTGGACAAAATATCTGCAAAAAACATTTTCTCAACGCATTTTTAAATATTCTCCATCATTTCTTACAGGTCTTTTTAGACCTTATGTCTCAGTTTGGAGCTCTGACAGCATGATCCCAGGCCATGGAATCCAACTAGATTACCCCTCTTCTTCCCCAAATCCTCCAGATCTTACTCAGACTAGTAACAGAAAGGACAGCTCTGACCAGAGTTCAGGAACACTTAGGGGATCTCTGTAAGAGGTCTAGGGAATCTGGGAGGGAACGAAGGAAAGGATCCAGCTCTGTGACCCTGGGGCAAGAGCAATGGGCAGGAAAGTAGCCGGGCCTCCAGCAGTGCTAGCAGGTCAGGGAGCATTTTCTCTTCATATTACAACTTCATGCTGTAAGTTTCCACATAGTTTCTTCTGTAGCACTGTAGCACTGTCCTCCCGTTTTTCATCGATTTGCTCCAGCAGGCCCAGTAACATCTCCATTGTGAGACTTGTTGTTACTGTGTTTGGCATATCGAATACATCACAGGTAGCTTGCCAGGCTCTGCAGTGCGGGCAAGATACCCTCGGTAGCTTGCCGGGTTCTCCGAGAGGGGCAGAGAAATTGAACCCGGGTCAGCCGGGCTAGCCGCATGCAAGGCAAATGCCCTCCCGCTGTGCTATTGCTCCAGCCCATGGTTTCTTCTATGCTTAATTTATTTTACTACTAATATTAAAACACAAAATTTCAATCTATGTGCTTGTTGGTATAACTCTACAAATACAACAGTCTCCCCTTTTTAAAAATAATTTAGTAAATTACTTAGATGTTAAGAAAGTGTTCTTGGGTGTTAGTCTCCTATTTTGTTACTTTATGTTCCCCAGATGAATGCAGTCTTTCTATGTCTGTCCCTCTCTTTCTGAAACCCAAGCACAAAAATTTGTAAGTCTACATCTGTACCTCATGGTGTTTCACCAATAAAAATTTTTTTTAAAAAGTGTTCTGGTTCCAAGCCATACTTCTCTCTGATTAAAAGAGGATTGATTGGTAGCAGTCATTTTGTTACTTACACACTTTCTATTTCTAGTTGCTCACCTTGAAACCTCCATAGTCTGCCAGTAATGACCCTGATGATGGCAATAGGCAGGTGTGACCATGATAAAACCAAATAGATGCAGAGAGTGTTAGAGGCTGAGTTCTGTATCCAGACATGCCCTGTACAGTATTCCTCAAAGGGAGATACATTGTTTATAGGCATCACTAGTGTCCATCAAATGCTGCCAGGCAAGTCATTTGAAATGTACCAATTTTTGGCTCCCTACAGCATTGGAAATAGAGAGACCATCATTACCCATAAATTGGAAAATCAAAAACATAAGAATAAGCTGCTATTTTCCTAAGGTTACAAAGGCTGCAATAGTGAGGTCTAAGTCCCTATAGTCAGGTCCTAGAACTGATCTTGGATGCAATAGTTACAGTACCCTGCCTTTTTCCTGTATCATCCTCTCATTGAACCTGAAGTCTACTAACAATGAAGATTCCTGTCCAATTCCAAACTGAAAAGGTTACATTCTCTGGGAGTCCACATGAGAGTTTGTGAACCATATTTCCACGGGTTTATTTTAAAAGTAAATCTGATGTTCTTATTTTGCTTAGTGATAAAAATGTGGTAGCACAGCGGGTAGGGCGTTCGCCTTACACGCGGCCAACATGGCCGACCCGAGTTCGATTCCTCCGCCCCTCTCGGAGAGCCCGGCAAGCTACCGAGAGTATTCGATATGCCAGACACAGTAACAACAAAGTCTCCAATGGAGACGTTACTGGGCCTGCTCGAGCAAATCGACGATCAACAGGAGGGCCTTTACCTTTACCTTAATGTCAATTATACCTCAGTTTAAAAAAAATACACTGAACCAGAGGTTTTAACAAGGATCTCTGAGTTTTAAACAAGAAAGAAAGAAAGAAGAAAGAAAGAAAGAAAGAAAGAAAGAAAGAAAGAAAGAAAGAAAGGAAGGAAGGAAGGAAAAAGGGAGGGAAGAAAGAAAGAAAGTGAAAGGGAGAGAAGAAGGGAGGGAGGAAGAGAGAGTGTAGAATATGTTGGAAAAGGAAAGCTCCACTAAAATTGAGTTATTTTGAATTTGGAGGGTGGATTTTACTGTTTCTCATGTACTTTTTTTTGTATTTATTCTTTTATTTATTTATTTATTTATTTTATTTATTTATTTTTAATTTTTATTAGTGAGACACCATGAGGTACAGTTACAGACTTACAAATTTTTGTGCTTGGGTTTCAGTTATACAATGATCAAGTACCCATCCCTCCACCAGTGCCCATTTCCCACCACCACGGGTCCCAGTATCCCTCCCACCCCCCATCCCCCATCCCACCCTGCCTCTGTGGCAGGGCATACCCTTTTGTTCTCTCTCTCCTTTTGGGTGTTGTGATTTGCGAAAGAGGCATTGAGTGGCAATCATGTTTGGTCTATAGTCTACTTTCAGCATGCTTCTCCCATCCTGGGAGGATCCTCCCAACACCCTTTATTTGGTGCTCTTTTCTCTGTCTGAGCTTCCTTTTCCCCTAGCATGTGTAGCTGGCCTCCAAGCCACGGAGCAAAATTCCTGGTACTAATCTCAGCCATTCTTGGGTGTTAGTCTTCTCATGTATTATTTTAACTGCTAGATCTCTACACTCAGATATCCATAGGCTCCTGTCTTTATTTTTGCCTTTTATTTAGTCTTGTCTATTATTGTTGTTAAAATTTTTACCTAAAATTAAGAGTGAAGATTTAAAATAAAATTTAAAATTAATTGTCTAGAAACAAATTTAATTTTTCTTCCATTCACTATTATAACCTTGGGAATCAAAGATGAATTATAGTAATGATATGAACCACAGCTGGGTTAAGACATGCTTTGGATTATCGCTGAAAATAGTTTAGCTAAGCAACTTTAGAACATAAACAAAATTTCTGGGAAAATGCTTGAAGTACTTAAGAGAACAACTTGTTTTCAAGTATTCTCAAGGATCTATTTTCATACAAATTATGGGTAAGAAAATTAAAAATTAAGTCTTATATAGGCTTTACAGAAAGATTCCAAATGACCTCTGTTAAATAACACTGAGATAGCTAAATTTCAGTTGCTTCGTGTACCTGAGGCTAGAAAAGTTATCATCATCACTATTACTATCAATCACTATCACTATCACCCCGTTGTTCATCAATTTGCTCGATCGGGTGCCAGTAACATCTCCATTCGTCCCTGTCACATGCTAGTGTAGCCCGATGGTATATTGAGGCTCTTTTAGGGTCAGGGGAATAAGGACCATCATTGTTACTGTTTTTGGCATATCGAGTACACCACAGGTAGCTTGCCAGGCTCTGCCGTGCAGGTGGGATACTCTCGGTAGCTTGCCGGGCTCTCCGAGAGGGATGGAGGCTTTTGGGGCAACCTCTAATCACCTTTACAGGTATTCCAAGTCAGACATATATGCAAGCAAGATACTCTCGGTAGTAGAAAAGCTATATAAAATTAAATTAAAATTCTTAAATTTAGATTTTTTTCCTATTTGTAATGACTATTTTTTTAATCAATTTTAGAATATGTTCCTTTATTTTTCGCAGTTTCCTTTAAATGTCCTTTTTTTTTCTGAAAGAGTGAGCAAAAGGGAATGCCCTGCCACAAAGGCGGGGTGGGTCGGGGGGATGGGGTGTGGAGGTGGGAGAGCTACTGGGATCATTGGTGGTGGAGAATGGGCACTGGTGGAGGGACAGGTACTCGATCATTGTATAACTGAAACCTATTTGTAATGACTTTGCCTTTAATTAGCCTGGCTTTATTTTATATTTAAAATGAAAAGAAAAACAGGAGGTAGTATTTCTTTACTTGGTACTTTGGACTAGACTTTTTCAAATTTTTTAAACAGTATCTTATCTTTTTGATATTTTTTAAAATGCAATTTTCATTGTCAGTTACTCATAAATTAAGAAAATAAACTTAAGAAAATAAAATTAAAATTAAATACAGATAATAATGGCTTATAGGTCATTGAATAAAAAATTTATGGGTCCATAAATAAATAAATAGACAAATCAGTGGGAGGAGAAGGTAAATCACTTATTTATAGAAGAATTCTCCTTAGTGGAAAGGAGAGATAGTACAGGGGTTAAGCACCGCACTGTTCTCCCATTGTTCATCGATTTGCTCGAGCGGGCCCAGTAACGTCTCCATTTTGAGACTTGTTGTTACTGTGTTTGGCAAATTGAATATGTCACGGGTAGCTTGCCAGGCTCTGCCGTGCAGGTGAGATACTCTCAGTAGCTTGCCGGGCTCTCTGAGAGGGGCGGAGGCCCAGCCGGGCTGGCTGCACGGGCTGGCTGCACGCAAGCCGGGCTGGCTGCACGCAAGGCAAATGCCCTACCACTGTGCTATCGCTCCAGGTTCAGATGTTTGCAATATATGCAGTCAACCCCAGTTCAATCCTTAGCACCATATATATGATCCTCAAGCACTTCTAGGAGTGAATCATGAGCACTGAGCTAAGTATGATCATTAAGTATGACCCAGAAATTTAAAAGAATTTAGA